CCCGCTGCCTCGTCCTGCCGGGGCAACGCGTAGGGGACCGGGCACGGGGCGGACAGGCTTGAATCTCCGTGTCCTGCTACCTCTGCGGGCAAAAAAAATCAATTACAGTATGAAAATGTCGCAAAGGAGAGGCTGGGATACATTGCACTGAGGTGTGGCCTTCCAGCTTTCACAGTCTGGCTACGTATGCTCAAACTAGATTTAAAACAGTCCACTTGACCCGTTTGCTCACACCTCACTTGCTTGTATTCTTTTTATTTTATGAGTTTTATGGTTCACACTATGGATTTATTTTACACTTTGGTTTTATATTATGCGTTTATTTTATTTTATGTGCTTATTTTATTTTACTTTTTTTTCCCCATCTTTAATCCGGTTTAGGGAGAGGCTGATGCTGGAAGTCGTCCTCGTCTTCCAGCCGTGGCTGTAGCGTAGATCCGTTCAGCTCCCTGATGCCCTGAGAAACTAATCTACCAAAAAGCATCATTAGTTTTGTGGTTTATGAGGGAGCTTGTGTTAATTCAGGGGCTTAGGGCGCTCCATACAGTCAGAGCAGGTTGAATTCAATATTCAACTCTGCCTTCTTACGAAACAAACTTCCGGTTTATCTAGTTTGAGAAGAAACCTAATCCAAACTAAAAATATCAGAGCCTTGTATTAGTATAACAAGACTAGTTCAAATAACTGGCAAAGCTTTCCCAAGCAGACAATTCCTCGCAGAAATAATTAACATTAGTATTTAATTTATCAATGTTTTCTGATTAAACCCTCACGTGGAGAATGGGAACGTTTTCACATCACTCTCTTCCCAGCTCCTTGCAGACCCATCTCTGTATGGCTTTTGGTCTCTTTATTTTAGCTTTTCTTTGCAACTGGACAGCTTGGTCTTTGCTCCGTATGTAGTTCTGCAAACTCGCAGCCAAATTTTCCCTAGTAGTTAGTGAACAGTCCAAATTACCTTCGCTGGTAATTTGGTAGTGGTCCCTCTATCCAGCTTTGTCTGTGTGGCCTGGAGGCAGCGAGTGAACTGGGAATGATCCTGAAACAGGGAGTGGGAATTGTTTGGTGACACGAGCTGGTAAAATCCAGGGTGCTTCCAGGATTCCAGCCTTCACACCCGGGTAGGAGGATTTTGAATATTGTGCATAAAGACGTTGAGCCTGTTTTGGTGCTGATCCCTAGTGGCTCTCCGTGGTTGTGGTCTCTGCCTTCCTAAATCTCTCCCTCCGTTGCCCACCGAACATTGACCCTAGGGGTGCATCCTGCTCGGGGATGTTCCGATGAACATTGCAAAGGGAAATAACACCAACACAATAGCTGAAGCTTAAGTCAGCAAAAATTCAGCTGATAAGTAAAAATGACTATAAATCAATTATCCCATAAATAGGGGGAGAGCCGTCCCACCACTCATTCCGTGACACATAACTTCTATAAGTTGTTTCCACTGCAACAATCATTCTCAGTTTTATTTTAGCTTTGGATTGTAACATTTTTCTCCAGAATAATTAGTAACTTGATTTTGGAACAGACAGTTTCCTTTTTAATCTTCTGATGTTGTTTAAATTAGTCTTTATTTTTTTACAAACACTTTTAAGTGGTTAGAAGGAATTCTGGATTTAAAGTGCACCAATGAGGTGTGCAAAGTTACTCTCTTTTAGGTATCTCTGGGTAAGATTTACAACCTGTTGTCAGTGGTAACAATCTTTGGAGGCAACAGTACCTGTTAAAAATACACCAAGATGAATTATGTGTCCCTCCACAGAAGGATAAAGGCATAAAGGAAAATAGGAAAGGCTTTAAAAATGATTAAGTATCTAACTAAGGAATTAAAATGAAAAGAGGATTTCGAGGATTAAAACAAAACAGAAAAAGAACATGTACACAAAAAATCTCAATGTGATAAATTCTGAACCAAAAACATGTTAAGTATTTTATAGCCTCCAGACAAACCGGAACTGAGGGCAGCGTTCATGTGTGTCAGCTTTTGTTATCACTAATTTTCATTCTGTTTTCTTCCCCGGCCTTGTTGGTTGTTTGTGCACTTGTTGCAGCTTATCTGACTCCTTGTCAGCCGTCTGCTTGACGCATCTCACTTTGCCTGTAATTTCCTCAGAGCAACGTGACTGAGGACCCCCCAAGAGCTGCTGGGGTGGGAGAGGAAGGAGCCCCGTGTCCTGAGAGGACACGAGGCCCCTGTGTAAGACGCATCCCCATCCGATTCCCCTGATCCCAGAAGGAAGGAGGAGTGACCACAGGAAGGACAGTTAGACTGTGGGTTTGGGTTATCCCTAGACACTGTTGGACCCCAGGGTTTGCAACATTTTTTAGGAGTCTCGAGTAAAAGAAGAAATGACAGAGGAATCCAAGTGTTAAGCGTTAATGTTAATTAAATGTTAAGCATTTTATCTGTAATTTTGTGGGTTTTTTTTTTCTGGATGCTCTAATCTGAATAAACCTTTGCCTTGTTTCACTAGGAAGCCCGTGTGGTGATTGCGGCATCAGGTGAATTGGAGAGAAGCTGGCAAATGTAACATGGTCCCTCCTCTCAAGAATAACTTGAAAAGAAAATGTCCGGGTAAATGCCCCATTCCAAGGCAAAGGGAGAGCTACCCAATGATGAACATATCAGAGAAAGCAAATATTAGACTTGTTTCTGAGGAGAGGTTTCCTGATGAGGAGCCAATATGAGGCAGTGTTGGTCTTGCCCGAATGCTGGTTTTAGGGAAGGACCAGCCTTGCCTGTTGCATTCTCTAAAAAGCTGAAGGCCATACGATGACTGTAGGCAAAGCTCAAAGCATCACAAGAAGCTTCTGTGGCCCAGATTCTTGTGATCCATATGGGGGAAGAGAAGGTGAACTTAGTCCCAACCTGCGGAGGCACAAAATAGCCTGAACTATTTACCTGAACTTCCAGATCAGAGCTCGTGTTCCTAACAGCTCCAAATGAGCAGTCCTGATAAAGGCCCCTGGGCACTACTGCAGTGCAAATAATAGTAGCAATAAGGAGCTCTGCTTTAATTGGTATTGTGTATTCCTCAAATGCCATGGAAAATATACTTTGCTAAGCCAACAATTTCCCCTCTGGAACTCTACTGGCTTTACCAAAATTACACGGGGGATGAATTTGGATCACGTTGGGTTCCTGGCTTAAATTATCAGCTGTTGATTTTTTGCCCCTTAAAACTTGGCAAGGATACAGGAAGGGCTTTCCCAGGCATGTAAGAACTAGGTCTGTGCATTTATGAGGAAATCCTTAGGGACTCTGCTTAGAAAGGAGCATGATTTGCTATAAGTATCGGACTACGAAATCCAGGAACTCCTACGCAGCACTCTAGCAGCTCAGGTACACCTAGACTGGCCTCGATATCAGTGCTTCCGAGCAGAGATTTTCATGCTTTATGGAAATTTCAGCTTTATGGAAGTATGATAAAAATGTAGGAAGAGGCAGCAGAGCCTCTGAATGTGGATGTCCTGAGATGCTTGGTTTACAAGCTGGCACTAACAGTGCTGGCTCTGGCTGATGTGATCTGGAGTGGTTTTATGGTCACTACAGCTTATCCCTGTAGTAGTCAGCTATCACAGTGGCCAGTTCGGGCCTCGCAATCCAGGAGGATGGAAAGGTGGTTTAGTTCGCAGTATTTATGCCCTGGTCCATGAAATGGCTTCCTAGGATCTGATTTGTCCTCTGCTGAAGTCACTTAGCCAGGAGTTTCCTCAGTATTAACTCCATAACTCTGAAATTATCATTGACATAAATAAGCAGAAATAACACTTTGAAGCAGTCATCGTCTTCACACAAACAAGATCCATATCGAGCTCTTTTGTCATCCTGAGCACCCAAGAAATATGTCCCATCCTTCATGGACACTCATCCGTGTTGTAGGACGGCTGCAATGCTCAGGGGCTTCCCAGGAATTCCTGATCAATGAATGATCAATGTTCCCCAGCTCTAGTTGTTCAAGAGCTATGCACCTAATCTGTGCTGTGTGAACATCCACTGCTTACGTCCTTTAGGTGGGCGAAATGGTGAATTTTAGCTATGGGGGACCTGTCTTGATAAAAACGAAAGGAAACAAAACCCACCTGAGGACTGTAGTTTGACAGGGCTGAGCAGGACTACAAGCACTGGCAGATCTCAGCTCTGAAATTTTCCTCCTTTACCAGGAAAAGACTCGTGCCATATAGACCTTTGGTGCCAGAATTGAGCCATTTTTATCCTTGCTGTAGTGAGCAAGGAAGAAACAAGTTTGGGGCCTAATGGGAAGTGGTTTGAGGCTATAATGGAGTCCGTCAGCAATTTAGCAATGCGATGCACCTGATTTCATGGATTATCCATAGGTACCAAATTGTTGCTG